GGGCGGGGGTGGACACAGGTTACGACAGCGCGGGGTGGAGAGTGTGCTGGGTGTGCTATGTGATAAGTATTGTATTGTCATTTATCAGTGGCATGATTTGCCAAAAATGTTTAAAACGGACCCCTTTTTAACTGAGCAGAGCGCGCATGTTTTTCATCTCCGCTCCGCCCCACCCTCGGCGAGGGTCCCTCGCAAGTCAAGTCACGAGTTCGTTTCCTTCAGAGATAAATATAAAATATGGTTGAGACAAGTCGTGAAAACCGTAATTTTGGTTGATAAACCTGTTCTGGTGATGTGTCAACCCCTGCTGTTACAATAATCTGTGTGTTGTACGTTCACAACTTTTTAAATGCTCATATGTTGGCCGCAACGCAAAACTGGATATCTTCCAGGAGGGCAAATAATAGCACCTCGGAAAGCTCATGACGCTCGGAGGTATCGAAGAAATGATGACGAGAGAGAACGCTAACGCGGCTGAACGACTTGGCCCACTCGCGGACAGTGTCGACGCACGACGCACCTTTTCGCCAGTTTGTTCATCCGCAACGGAGACTCGAGCGGCAAATATAATTTAAAAGGCATATATGGTAAGTTATGTTTCTAATTCAACGGCACCTTACAAACCGTTCAACCGAAACCGATTGTTTTTCACAAAAGTGAGAAATCGACGCGTTTGATTTCAAGCCTATTTAAATATCTATTCGACCCTAAACCTGACATGTTTCCTGTATTGGTCTATCGTTTGGACTTGGACTTTTCTTTTACTGGATGATTGGGCCTACCGCATCTTTGTGTGGGTCCTGGAGCAAGGCAAAGGCACTAGCCCAAGGAAGGTTCAGGTTCAATAAACCACAACGCGCGCTCAACATTGCCGCCTGTACATGTTTTCCACCGAAAACAACAAGCTTGTACCCGCCAATTAAAATGATTTTTTTCCGATCATGCGCCCACCCAGTTCTGTCTCAATGTCACTAATTTGTCGGCCGCTGCCGTTTGGTACACCACATGTGAGACGACCCGAGAGGTCACACAAGGTCGCTGGATGGAGCGGGGGCGGCTCCCGCGGCCCGCGACGGCTGCTGCCGGACACGCGAAGGAACTTAATTTTACCAGATCACGCTGATGCCGGTGCCCCATCAGATCGCTGCCCGCGCGTCGCGGGGGGTTCACCGGTCGGCCGTGCGCGATTTGACGACGTAAACAAACTGCGGCTGAGACGGATCACGGCGCGGCGGCGGCGGCCGGCGGCAGCCAAGAAGGAGGTGCCTGCCGATCGCTTAGTCACGCTGTCATACGTACGAAAACAGAAAGACGAGAATGCGGCCGCTCCATGCTCGCCTCGTGAAGCCGCGAGGAGCCCACGTGGAGCACTTGCCGCGATGTTTGTGGAACAACAAACGCAGAAAAACGTGTATGCCTTCGGGATATTTTTAACTCGTTCTTTAGCAACATAACACATTACTTCGTGTTGCGCAGAACACGAGAGAACAAGTATTACAATCAGTGCTGTATAATTTAGGTCCCACTTAAACTCAGAATCCACACTACAGACACGGTAGCAATGTTATTCTGGATTGCTTGAACGTTAGTATGAAGTCAATGATAGAATACTTTTTAAGCGTTGAAAGCGAAATTTGGGACCGTTGAAGGCACTAAACAAAATTCAGTACACGTGTTCGTTATGAGTTCGCCGTGCAAGGGCATTACGACAAGTAGCGAGAATTTTTTTCTTGCGGGCGCCAGACAGTTGATGAATACGTTCTAGGCGTGCTACTCCGTTAAAGAAACAAAAAAGTTAGTTCATTTCATACCACTAAAAATATTGGGCGTGGCAACAAATTTTGAGGTTCAGCAGCAAAACTTTTGTGTCCAGGACAAAACATTTTAGTGCGTCCAATCTTTCGGTCCCGGGGCAACATGATAAGTGCTCAGGACCATTTTTTTTTTTCAGAGTGCAGGCCAGAACTTTTGACTGTTCACTTTTAGATCGTCTGGATCGTTTTCTGTTCGTCGCTAACCTTCCAAAAATGTTCGCTACTTTGCAAGTATGCCCTGTCAAAGAAGTGGTGTTTTAATTTTGCTCACAAGTGTATTTGATTGAAAACGGCTCTTGTTTTAAAACAGAACATGTTAAGAGAAATATTACTTACTGACAACTGTTTATATAGTGCGTTGTGAACATAGTGTGGTCACGCGTTGCTGGTTTCCCAACCCTCATGATATGCGCAGCTGCTGCGAATTATGAGAGCTAGGCGCCTGTGCGACTCAGGGTAGGCCTGCCCGCAATACACGCACGCTTTGCGGCCAAGATGTTGCCTACCTATCAGGCGCCTTTGAGACCTTGCATTCGCTGAACTTAGCAATTTACTGACGGCAGATGACAGAAATACTTTCTCGATAATTCCACCACAAGTTGGGTACTAATAATTTAAGTTAAGGGACGAGTGTATTTCTTAGCAGAAAACAATTGTGACATGGCGAAGAATATTTTGTAGCGGGTGATTCAAAGAAGTCACAGGTGCGTACGGAGTTGCCTACCTAATAAGCCATGCGTCCTGGCATAGCGAGTAGACAAACCCGCTCGCACCTGCGACTTCTCTGAATCAACCGGTACGCTTTGCTAATCTTGGTGTGTAGTAGTTTCCCAGTTTAAACTGTTGAACTAACTGGCAAACTTTTAGTTCCACAGTTGAAACTGGCAAACTACTACACACTAAGAATAGCAGACCGGTCGTTCTTTTGATAGGAGTAATCCTGCGTTTATTGTCGTCAGCTTTCAAATCATTTTTCATGCATAGCACACCCCGCTGCTCCCAACCCTTCGGGGTTAAGGGGCAATTGCCACCGTGCGGTGGTTCCAGGGCGGGAGGCGAGGGGATGGAGGAAGGGGGAGGGAGGAAGTGTTATGGAGATAGGTGGCCGCGAGTAGGCGAGAGAGGCGGGTCCTTCTGCGGATCCTTCGCACCAACCCACTCCGCTGATCGGCTTGACACGTGCTGGGTGCTTGCTGGATCAGGTATATCTCCAAAGGGTTGGCTTTGTGCCGGGCGGCCGCGCTACGGTCGAGCTTCAGGCCGAGGGTGCCGCAGCCGCATATCTCCGGGATCGTTTTGTCCCTTTTGAGCACTTTGCCGCCGGCCCTTGACGGTGGTTGAAACGAAGATGCGCAGTCTATTCTGCTCGGGTCAGACATACCAATGAGGGCGTTTCCTGTCCTATCTACACCTTAGGGACGGGGAGGGGAGGGGGGGGGGATACACTGCTCTACCCCTTGCTTAAAACCCGGCGTTCACACCCCCCCCCCTCCCCGCACGTGACTCGATCTCTCCTTATCTGTTCTCCGTGGCCTTTCTTTCCCGGTAACCTTGGGATTCGACGCGCTGAGGCTTGATCGAGCTAGTCTTACTTTTCTCAAACGTCGTGAAAAGTGCACACCGCATTGCTCACTGCCGGCTCACTGACAGTCGGAGTCACTTAACTCCTCTTTTCTCTGTTACTGACTGGAAACCTACAAGTGATGGTATGTGATTCCCATATCTAACCGTCTCTTGAGTTTTTTCTTTTCTTTTTTTTTGCGAAAGATTAGGACTAATTATTTTTGTATACTATCATAAAACGATCTCATTACTTTGCAGCGACAGACATACTATTTATCACATTACTGCGCGTGCAAAAGAGACTGTGCCTTATCGCCTATTATTCTCAGGAGCAATTGCAATTCCCGGGGAATCGCAAAAACCATCGGAGCTATCGCAAAGATTCGTCTCATAATAATATCGCAATCTGTAAGTCGCGGAGGTGCGGAGGAGTGCGGCGGGGCGTGGTGGCCCTCGACTGGTGCGGCCGCGATGCACCGATAGGCTGCCGATAGGCTGCCGATAGGCTGCGCCTGGCCTGGTCCCGGCGTCGGCGCCGTCCTCAAGGAGCTGTCACGTGTTACAGGGGCCGCCGCCGACCACCGCCTTCTGATCGGACAGGAAACCCCCGCCACTGCACGCCACCTCGACACGCCAAAAAGGACGCTCGATCGCCGTCAAGTGCGATCGCCGGCCGGCCAAGCTGCTACGACAGGAGGAACGCCTCGCCCCGGCGGCCCCGGCCGCCCCCTCTTCAAAGGCCATGCTCTGCGCTCGGGTGAGATGGAGTGCTGGCTGCTGTGCGTGTGCGGTTGTGTGACTCTGTGTATGTGAGTGCGGGAGGGATGGAGGGGGAGGGAGGGGAGGGTCTCTTCACCACTCGAACTGAAGTGGTACGGTAGCAGCAAGTCCCCTCCGGTCCCCTCACTGTGTTACACAACGTTATTAGCAGACGACTTTTATGCCATGGTCTTCTGCCTGGTGATTGACTGACGCGAATGATGCAATAATTATGGTCCTTCGAAGTAATTACAGTGAAAAAGACGCACTTGTCGATCCCTCACCTAGAAAAACGTACCTTCGATTTCACGGATATTCCGTTAAATGGGGACGAAGGAAATTTTGAATTTGACTTAAACCAGATAAAATTTTACGATGATAGGAAGTAAATTCCGTCTGCCCCATCACCGAAATTTCCGTGAAATTCCAGGTACGTTTTTTCCCTAGGTGACCGACTGGAACGACACTGCGCCGCACACCATGGACTCCCCCCACCGTGTTCTGTTGCAGGCTGTGGGCGCCCTGTTGGCGCTGGTCCTCGTGTCCGGGGTGGCGCTGGCCGTCGTGATGGTGGAGGCGCCGTTGCACCCCGATGACACCCCGCGGACGCTCGTCGTGGACACGGACGCGGGGGCCGACGACGCCGTGGCCATCCTGGAGATCCTCCAGGCTGAGGCCAGAAACCTGTTCGTGAGCAATTTTTATTTTCTTCAGCGTATCATTTTTTTGAACGATGAGTTAAGATTAACAGAGTGGACAGACATGACATTAATTGGATGTTGATACCCTAATTACGTCGATTAATTGCTCAAATTACTTAATTTGAAAACAATGGATTTTTACGGATTTTCGCGATAAGCGGGACGGGTTGATGGACTATCCCCGCAGTCGGGCGGTCTGCGGTGTAGTGTACCATTATTATACGACAACGCTATCGCACACTTATCGCAGAGGTCAGAACGGCTAACCGCAGAGTAGCAAACAATAAGAGCGCACCCAAACATTGAATGGTGTGGATCACACCATGACATTGTCATTTCTGCTCAACCGGGTCAACGGAGAGTCATCGTGATTCTGTTTTGTCCGATGGCCCGGTACATATGTACCCATTGGGCGCAAAAATAAAATTAAAAACACGTTTCATTTCTACCATCTGAGACATTAAATTAACTAATGAGCCGCTGCATTTCACTGTCTGCAAACGTTGCCACGCACGGAAAAAATGAATTGGTTGTCAGAACGAAGTATTAGTTAATTTAGGGACAATCGATCAAAAACTTGCTGTCAGAACCAAGATGAAGCTGCCAGAACAAACTGTTCGGTGCTTCAGCTAACGCATTCGTTCTTAAAGCAAAACACGAATTGGCTCCTGCAGCGACGTGCTTTGTTTTAACAACCAACTCTTGGCTCTGACAACTAAATATTCGTTCCCACAGCTGATATTTAACGATCGTCCCGAAATTAACAAATTATTAGTTCTGATGACCAATGCCTATTTTTCCGTGCGTGTGTGTTTGTATGTTTCTATTCGGTGTGGACCGATTTGCTGCTTACAGGAGGCCGTTCAGGACAATCGCCATCACATGTGTCCAGGGTAACACCGGCGTGGAGAACGTCACTCGAAACGTTCTCGCCACCCTGAAGATCGCCGACCGTTTGGACGTGAGTCTCATCTCCGACTGTAGTAAATAGAGCGAATGATGAGCTTTTGCTACTACGATTGGTGTGCACAGATCCCCGTGTACGCGGGTGCCGCGGTCGCGTTGCTGCCCCCGCGGCCTTCCTACAGCGGCTTCTTCGGCAGCGACGGCTTCGGCGACTTCCTGGACACGTTCCCGGCTGAGCCCGCGCCCGAGCAGTACCTCCGCGAGGGGCCCGCCGCCGTCGCCCTGGTGCGGCTCGTCAAGGAGAACCCCGGTGGGCTAACGGGGCTGGTGTCGGGTCACGGGGGCACCGGTGCTGAACAGAACCTCACTGACTGACCACCCCACCCGCAGGTCAGCTGACCCTGGTGTGCATCGGGCCGCTGACCAACGTGGCGCTGGCCGCCCGCCTGGACCCGGGCTTCCTGGACAACCTGCGGGACCTGTTCATCCTGGGCGGAGCTGCACGCGGTGAGACGTCAACAAGCAGCTGCGCACATTCTTAGGGTTGATTGTACACCTAGATTACACCAGGCGCCGGACTAGAAAGTATCCCCGTGGGTGGTCGCCGAGACTCGGCGAGCCGGAGTACTCCGACGGCGGGAGACTCTCGACCGCGGGGTACCGCCACTGTATCCTGAGCGCGGTGTATCTCCACTCTGCAGGGAATGGGAATGCCGCACCGGGCGCGGAGTTCAACGTGCTCGGGGACCCGGGCGCCGCCGCCGTGGTGCTGGAGGCCGTGACGAAGCCTGTCTACCTGCTGCCCTGGGAGACGGTCATGGATGCCGAGCTGCCCATGGTAAGCGGCATCATGTCACACTTACAAGGGAACCTTCTCAGGTGTAAACCTCCGATTTCGTTGAAACTTTGAAAATTTGGAGGTTATTTATGTAGAAATCGGACGGCACTTGAAATTTTTCCTGAACCTCACAATTAGTTTTCCCCTACATAGTGGTAGGAGTGCGGATTTTTGCATGGCTTTTATGATATTTTTTGTGAAATGTAAGGCAGTGTTCCAAGGGGTAACTGATTAAAGTAGCGCTCTCTGGGCCAAAATTTTGTCCGTTTTGCTCTATTTTGTACCGTTAAGGCGGTAGAGGGATAATTGGGACAAAAAACAGTGTAAGGCTTAAGCAAACCCCTAGTAACTGTGAGGTTCAGGAAAAATTTCAAGTACAATAGTACAATAACCTTTAAATTTTCCGAGTTTCAGAGCTCATTGAGCTCGACCCCCTGAACTTGACATTTGCGTGTCACAGGAGTGGCGGGTCAAGGAGCTGGGCGAGGTAAGGTCGATCGCCATGAAATTCCTCAACTTGGCGGAGTCGGTGGCGCTGTCCAAAATGAGCACCTGGACCAGCGGGGACGGGCTCCTGGCGGCGCACCTCATCGACGGCGCTGTGGCCCCCTTCGGCAGAGCGGTGCGGGTGGCGGTGCTCGTCGGCGAGGGCCCAGCACGCGGCGTCACCCTCGTCGACTACGCCAACACGACGGGACTGCCCGCCAACGCCGTGCTGATCGAGAAGCCGGACACGTCCCTTTTCAAGAGACTGCTGCTTGACCTACTCGGCTGACTCGGTCGGAGTTGGAAATTTGGGCGACATTTGGAACATTGACTGAAAAAAATAAATAAATGATCTATCCTTACTACCTTGTTTTGTTTGCGACCAGGTTTCACTTTTTGGAAATAAAAATTCTGCTAATTTGGATTGGCATACTGCGATGTTTCGTTTCGACATCGCTTTTCACCCGCCCAGTGTAGCCTACATACTGTAAATGTACGTTTCACATACGGCAGGGCCGGACCGAGGGCCGGACTGGGAGGGTAAGGGCCCCGGCTGCCACGTCTCATGAAGCGGCCCCAAACCCGAAGTGCCCCCCCCCCCCCCCCCCCCCCCCCCGTGTTTTTTTAAAAAAACTGAGAAGTACTTCAGAAAATTCAGGTTCGCTGCGGCAACGAACTCCAGGGATTGATTTTTACTGACCCGTTCGCTGGCTGTGACCGGCTGTGACTGCTGTGGTAGGTGCGCTGGGCGAGTCTTGGAGCCGGAGGGTGAGACCTATACGAGGAACCCTCCAGCCCACAGCGGCCCAATATTTGCTCTCCTACGCGGGATTCCGCAATAAGTTTCACCCGTCGATCCGGGCGGTCTCACCACCATCCCCACCACCTGGGTTTCTTTCCAGTTCTGAGAGTCCTATCGGACTCCATCCTTGCCAAGCACGGCACCACCGCCACCTCGGCTAAGGCCGTTTGCAAGAAACTTTGAAAGAGAGGAATCTTTTTCGATTGGCAGCAGTGTGCAAAGAGTGGCGGGTGTTCTGAGCCGTATTTTTCTTCTAGAACTTGCACTGTACCGGATGCTGACGTGTGGACGGGTAGCAAACTGCGCACGGGGCCGTAAGGTGCCGTGTTTAGGGGCGGCAGCACCTTTCTAGAGGCACTATTTCACTGACGCCTTTAAAAGGCATTAGATAGCACCTTTGTTTT